TTGTCAAAATTCGAACTTTAAATGCTTATAAAAAAAAATTGAGACTATGTATTTTTAATATTTTTCAACTACTATAGTAACAATGTAATAGGATCTTCGTATTAAATTTTCAAACTTTTTTTACCAAACAAATAAAATTTTATTGACATTTATAAAAAAAAATACTAAAAAAATTGGAAACTGAAAATGTCCGTCAACATCTCAAAAATAGTCAAAATATTTTGTGAATTTTATCGTGTATAGAAAATGTTTTTACTGAAGCTTTGGAAAACTATTGTGAATTTTGAAAAATGACCTCCCGAATGCACTAACTAGATTCACTTTCCAATCGAACAAGATACTGAAGTCGAATCATTATTTCGACTACATATCATGTACACAGACACAAAAAAAAAATTTTAAAAAAAACACACATCATTGTAAAATCAATACATTCATCGCTCCACTCAGAATCTGAAATCAGTTCCCCGATCTACCGAAATTGTATATAGTATTTAATTATAGGGGGAGAGTAAAAATTTATAAATATCCCAGTAACTTTCAAAAAATATCGGAAAACTTGCTCTTTGTCAAGTCTGTATATCATGATTGTTGTTGTAATTGTTGTATTAAATCTGAATTTAAATGATACACAATTTCACATAAAAAACTATTTTTAGCGGAAATGGTTTGTTATCCTAGATATTATTAATACACGCTTTTTGATTAATGTCTTATTTGAAAAGTAAATATAGATTAAATAAATCGTCGCTTAAGAAGCAACACCACCTATCTCATATTTTAGTCAAATTGCCACACTATCTTATTCAAAATTTACTTATTGTTATAGACGCCGGCAAGGCTCAAGTACAGTATATATAATATAGATAATATCTCATACATTACTCCCACATCCGACTCTTAGGGAAATCTCACACCCCTCCAACCACAAAGTGTAGAATCAAACCCTACCCTTTGACATGGGTTGACCAACAAATTTAAAACCACCTTCCTAAACATCCATCCACTAGTAGAGGCAAAATCCTGCTATAGTTTCACGGCTTAGCCATCCCCCCAAAGCAAAGCAAAGCATACATTACATATCATAATAATAATAATGTAAAAAGGTATAATGGGTCAAAATTAATACTAACGATCAAAATAAGAACATTATTATAATAATATTCTGTGGTGAAACCAGAATACCAGATTCAACTGGCTGTGATACCTCAAATTTATTACACTATGGACATTGGTAATGGAATCAGAAATACTAACACACCAGATATTTTTTCTAAATTTTTTTTTATTATTTGCGTTCCAACAATATTTGAATTGAAAGTTAATATTTTACTTATATTATTTTTGAGGGGGCTAATTTCCGCCTATGTTTAAAACCAAAAGTAATTTGTGATGACGCACACAAATCAATAATTAAAGGAAAGAATAAACTAGGTTTCAGATTATTAGAACAAGACAAGTTTAAATAAGAATACAGAATTTAGGGCAGGACAAAAGGCATATAAGAAGTAAAAAGTAGGTTGTGGAGTGAAGGAAGTATAGTTAAAGAATTCGTAATTAGTATTCATTCTTAGTCAAAATGGATAAAAATAATAGAGTTGTAAGGAGAAATGATATATTTATAAAAAAGGAAAAAACGTTTAAAAGGTTAGATAAAGATTATGAAATTAAGGAAACACACAAAAAAAATAAAGAGGAACAAGTATTGAGGAAATAACAAAAACAAGTTTCTGTTAGATATGGGTCAAATAATTATCAGTATTATGATTATTACTATTGTTATTATTATTATGTATAATGTGAACATAAAAATAAAAATAATAAATAAATAGTAGCTTTTAATGAAATAAAAGGAACATTGTTAAACATAAACAATTGTAAGTTAATGAACAAACGACCTCATCTATTTGAAATTACTGAGAACGCCACTGATTTATTTTATTAATAGATTCTGAGTAAACCGTAGACGGAAAGATGATTATACGTGTTTTTATATAGGTAAAAATATACAAAACTTATAATACATATTGACATTATACGTCATGTAGATTTGATAGTAGTGTATAATAGTACTATCAGGATATAAACAACAAGGTATGATCTGGCTCGAACTTTTTTAGTCTTTGAAGCAAATTGTATATTTTTAATATTTTACCACCGATCATCCCTTTTATTACACCAAAATGATAATATATTAGATCATATAAATTATAATCAGTGGCGGTTCTGGTAGTATTTTTTTGGTGAGGCAACCTATGTATCAACTCCCTATTTTTGTGTTTATCTTATAAAAATTTAAATGAATATTTTACAATTTTTTATTGCATACAATATACAAATCCTAGCCCTGCTAATGAGTCAATGAGAAATATAAATTGATAGGTATTACAACGGTTCAATTAGGGCTGTCCCGACTCCCGGCTGTAACAATTACAACTGATAATGTGTTTTTAGTTTTTACGTTAACTGCGGGCTGACCATAATGCCCGTATACTGCATTTATTTTTGGTATTCATAGGCAATGATAATCGTGCCTCGCGATGATCATTGCGCATGCGCAAGTCAACTTAATTAACAGTCACGTGTATTCGCGTACATACGTGTGTGTGTAATTTGTGTACACAAGTACAAACGGCAGAGGCGTTTTTGCAGTTTTTCTAATTATTCGGTTGACTTTTTAAAAATTTTCTTTCGTAAAAACCTTCACCTGGCTATTACGAACATCTTAAAAAAAATTTGAGCAAAATCGGCCCAGCCGTTCTCAACTGATGCAATTTCGAATTTTTTGTCTCCATTTTTATATATATAGATAATAAACGATAATTCATATTAATAAACTTGGCAAAGAAGAATTTTTTCTAAAATAAATCCACGTTAAAATTATTATCAAACTATTGTATACTTGTTGAGTATTTTTTACTTAAGAATTTTAGGTGAGGCGGCGCGGCGCCTCACTTGCATCACCCCCAAAACCGCCACTGATTATAATATTTGTCATGAAAATTTATTAATATTATTATGTGCATTTTTTATAATAATACATTTTTTAAATTTTTTTATGTAAGTACACTGTACTTAGTACAGTGAATTGTGATTGACAAATATATTATTATGTGAATTTTTAAACATGCCAAACAACGGCAAATTTGTAGTTTAAATGATATCCACCGGGAGCACCACAATCTTCGAAGGCCGGGTGTTTCAATATTTGAATTAGACACTATATATTTTATACAATTGTGTATTGTGTTTTATTGCAATGAATGAATGAATAAATATTGTATTTATGATGGAAAATAACTGTGTGTACCTACGTTTATTTATTGGTATTTCAATAAGATAATTTAACGTATGGTATTCATATTGCAAAACATTTTGTTGATATTTATAGAAAAAATAATTTAAAAACTTGAAAACTAAAATTGTCAATAAACAGCTCAAAAATAATCAAATTATTTTCATAATGTTATGGTGTTGTTTCGCCTTTACTGAACCTACTTGTGTAGCGGTTAGCGGCAACGACTATCGGGGCTGTAAATTCTAAAATAGATTGACTGTGTGACCAGGGCAATATATAAAATTAATATAATTTAAGGCAAGTTTTCAGAGACGGGCACAATATACCTGAAAGGCTGAAAACAAATATAATGGTAGAAATTCATATAAACATATTATATGCAGGTGCAAGGGGTATGATCATACCTAACTAAAGAAATTATTATACTTATGAACTATTAAAAGGCCCTACTGCCTAATAAGCGCGCAAACCGCTTCTGTATTCACAGATTTCTATATATTACCAGATAGCGAACTCCTATCATGAAAGCTTCAAGGTCGGTTGGCAATTGTATGGTATTTCATACGACAAATAAGATGATATTATGATTTATTTTATATCGTATTTTATTATTTCTAAACATTTGGGTTATAAAAAAAAATATATATTTTATATAAGTCATTTTACATTTACTATTTTATTTGACCATTAAAAAAAATATTATTCCTAATACATTTTGTATAATAAATGAAATGTTTTGCCAACCGACAAACTGAGAGTTCCTTATCTAGTGTAGTATAGAAGTCTGTGGCTGTAGGTCACATCAGAGATGGCGGTATATCAGTAATAGGTAGTTATCACGCCAAAACAATTAAAAAACGAGCGCTTCCCCGCAGTAAGGCATTTGGCTGGCTTATCATAATATAATAACGTTATCATAGAGTTAATCTGCGACAACAGTTAAATTTTTTCTGATCCTATCTAAAAATAATAATTATAATAAAATTGGTTTTTTACGCTTAATTCAAGTATTTGAAAAAATTTCGGGAAACTTCAAAAGTTATGGCAATTCAAAGTTGTCAATATTAAAAAATATAGGTACTTTTGAATGGACGAGCGAGTGACCACGCTGGGAATAAATATACTTAGAAACAAGAAACAATATTGAGGAAAACCGAGGTTTACCTGAGGTAGTTCACACAGCAAATAGGGGGATATTTTCGATTTGCGGAGCGGAGCGACGGCGCCGAGGAGCGTAGCGACGAGTGCCGATACACGCGTAATCGCTGCAACATTGATATGCCATAACTTGTGAGAACAGTGAGTTTCCCGAAATTTTTGTAACTGGGAAACGGTGTAGCTGGTGGTACGCAAATTTAAAAAGTTTGAGAACCGCTGGTCTAAAGCCCTGTTCACACGATCAAATAATTTGTCAAATATTTGACATTCGTCAAACTCCAAATATTTTAGAACTATTTCTAAAATATTTGAAGTTTGACATACATCAAATATTTGACAAATTATTTGATCGTGTGAACGGGGCTTAAAGAAACTAAAAATTATACAATACAAACTATTACAAATAATACATTTCTATGTATCAAAATTAGAAAATTCTGAATTTTACATATATTTATATTTTTTTTAATTCTATGTTAACGTTATTATTTGATAAGCCAGCCAAATGCCTTACTGCGGGGAAGCGCTCGTATTAAAAATATTATTAGGTCTTATCTGAACTCGACGGCGGAGGATCAGCTGTTGCTAGGGTACCGACGGCGACTATGCCACGGCACTGTGGGGCGTGGAGGGGCCCGCGAAGGTTTGACGGTGGAAGTGGAACGCCTGGTGACTCGGGAAAGTTACGTAATGCACGGCGTTCCATTGCGTAATAATCGGCGGTGAACCACCGGGGCCGAAATAGACTGCTATGCCACAACGGAACGATGTAAAGCAACTCGAGCGTCGCGACTAGGGGAACCGTCGGCAACGAGAAAGTCCGACGTAAGCAGTTCGCACTAGTTCCCGAGCGAGGCATAAACCGAGGGGTCAAACCCGCCAACACACACTCGGCAGTAAATCGTCGCCAAACCACGGAACATTGAAGACCGCACGACAGGCAACGCGTGCAGTACAATTCACAATAGACACATGTTGTGTCTTTATATGTTATCTTTTAGAAAATTAGAGCAATATGGTACTTTAAAATTTAATTTTTAGATTTTCTCAATAGTTGCTACGGGAAAAATCTATAAAAACGATATTTTAATTTCTGACGTTTTGTTTATCAACATAAAATATAGTAAAAAAAATAAAAATTAAAAAAATAATGTTTTTTCTTTTGTTATAATAATTTATAATATTAATTAAGCTTACAGGCTATAATAAATAATAACAATATAAAAGATGCAGTCTGGCAAACAATCTCCGCTCAGAATCGTTTTTCGTTTACAATAATATGATATCATTGAATTCAACCTACTGTACAGCAGAGCGACATCCACTCACCCATTTTTTATTTATTCTTTTAATATGGAGGTATCTAGGTTTAATATTTTTCTGATCCTTCCCGTTTTACAAAATGTATGTATCCTCTACTTTCTTTTTACGTAGGTTCTATAGGTATTATTATGTATTTAAAATATTCATAATAACATAAAAATTGAAATATTTCGTTTTCATAAAATAGGCAGCCTTGCATTCTGCCTGCGTAGATAAAGAAGAACTTTAAAAAAAATGGGAATATATCGGAGGGGATATTTTCTACTGCACCGAAAACGGTCAGGAGGGAGGGGGGATGTGTGTGAGGAAAATGTCTGCTATTCATTGTCTGGACAATTTTCTAAAAAAATTTAGGTATCACAACAATATCACTTGGCTAAACTCTGTGTAAAAAACGGCTAATTAAAAAAAAAAGATCTCTAAGCACTATAAAGATTTGATATCATATATAAATGATAAGTAAACTGAATTTTAAGTACACTTCCTATTTTGTTTCAATAATGTATTTACTTGGCGAGAAATTATAATATAGCTTAGGTATTTTTATGACACTGCACACGAAATAATAAAGTGAACTAAATATAAACATAAGCGATTAGTAGTTTATTACAATTAAAAATATTATAATGGACGCATTTCTACTCAAAATAGTTTATTGCGAAGTAAATAAATTATTGAAACAAAAAAAGTGTACTTTAAATTATACCAGCTATAATATCTATATCTACATAATTTAGATTTTATTATAGGTAAAATAAAGGAACCTATCGGTGGTATTTATACGACAAAGGGTTTGAAAAAGTGGAAATTGTTTGAATTTATATGCGCTTTAAATGTAAGTACTTATACGATATTATATCAATTTTATAATATTCTAAAATCAACTTATTACTGTATATTACCGATATAAGATATTGCTTTGATGGAGACGGCTAATGGTGAGACATAGGTATAGTATTTTGTTGACGTTTTATTTTTGTACCTGTGCCAGGCTATTGCCATGTCACGGAGGGTAAACGGCGACTGGGTATAAACATGAATTAACTGCACATTATATTATTATAATATTATTTTTTCCTATACTCATAACCAAATAGTATATAGTAATATATATTATCAACATAAATATTGTCAATAAAGCACGTAGATACTCGTACCTACAAATTCAATTATAAACTCCTTATAAGCTTATCTACCTTTATCAAAAAAAAATAAATTTTATAAGAAAGTAAAATTAAATGTGTGTGAGCATTTGAAGTTCAAATTTGAACAATATTGGATATTTGCACGATTTCTCATATACCGATTTGCTTATTTTGTTGTAATTCAAAAACAAATACCTGTAAAAAACTTGAGATTCATATCATATGTTTATTTCATCAATTCATATACTTGTTAAAATTTTCAAAAAATTGTATTTGTTTCGAGCTTTTTATGGACAATTTCAAATCTCAATTTTTTTAGTTTTTTTTTCTATAAATAGTAAATATCAATGAAATTGTAGTTGTTCTGCCAAAAAGCGTCAAACTTCAATACCAGACTCCTGATATTAAATTGCTTAAATAAGAGTCAAGTACACTTGTATAGCTAAGAAGTAAGAATTTAAAACTTTCAACAAGGTTCCACGTAAGTAAACCTATTAAGTACCTACTTCTGTAACCAAAAAAATCAAAAATATAAAAACACAGTTTTGTTTATTGTTATTTTATGTAGAATATTAATAAAATATAATAAGTCCATACTGACAAACCGTCCAAATCGTTTTTCGTATACAATAATATTATACTATCATTGAATTAAAATGTAATACCATCCATTATATATTGAACCACTTGTAACCTACTATACAGAAGAGCGACATCCACTCCCCACTTTTTCAAATGTTATTTGTATAGTATGTTTTTTTTAATTACTGACATATATTATTATAGTGCCCTGATAAGCTAAGACGTCATAAGTTCAGAAAATAGGAAAAATGAAGTAAAGCCAAAACAAGAATTTCTTTGATGAATATTTAAGTCTACCAAATACAGCAAGATTGCGGTAATACAATTATTATAGGAATCTATTCGTAATTTTAACTTAGTCAGTAGAACCTAAAAATAATAATCTACGGCCTAATAATTTTAAAATGGTAATAACAACATTAATCTATATTATGTACCTATAAAATATTATAGATTAATAATTAAATTAGTATTTAAGCATAATCCTATAGTTAACGGCGCAAATAAGCTGAAACCTAGTGATAAAATAAGTTAGTACCTATTTAACATAATATATTTATACAACAACTAGATAAAATTCTCTTTTTTATCATCGGAGTCGGTCGCCATTTATAAAGCGGGCATTTAGAAAATAATATTATCAAAAAATATATATATATATGAATAAATGTAAAATAAATGTTCACATTGCCTGCTTTATGAAAGGCAGTCGAGTTCAACATTGGTCATAACTGTAGTATAAAGACTACAGACTAGTTATCTAGTTGATAATATTGATGATATTTAATGAAACAATTAGACATTTCAATGTAATAATTTATTATAATATACTATATACTGTAGACGATTGTGAATATAATATTATTTAATAAATATTATGCAATATGGTTGGGAATATTTAAAGCTATTAATTATTAATATATCGTCAGGCCAGTGAAGCAAAATGTGCTGAGTCGACAATAATATTTTGCATTATAACATCGCCGTACGTTTCGATTTAGTGTTGTATTTATGTTTGTTTTATATTTAAATAAAAGTGTTTCCGACCTGAAAACCTGAGTCTTGAACATTATTTTAGTCATTTTTACGTTCTTAACTTTTATAGGAATATCGCCCGGGATATACATAGGTATATACTAGTACATATAGGTATTCATTAAACTGAATAGTGCAACAGTGTATGTAATCTTTCAATCATTCCTACTTGGTAAGAACGAACGAAGAATTGGTAAGTGCATACCATCGTACTTCACAAGTTAAGAGAGAAATTTGGCACGGGGTATACCACATGATTTTTACATTCAAGTAACAATTTTTTGCAGATGATTTAAAATATTTAGATTCATAACCTCACGATTTACATTTGTTACAAACTGATTGAAATAGTTTGTATGAATTGTGTAATGCAATATTTAAATATTATTAAGTGTAAAGCAATGTTATTCAATAAGTCACGAGATAAACTTTTTCAAGCTTACCATATTAACAACTAACAAAACGACATGTGTTTATAATAAATATGATTTAGGTGTAATACTAAATTTACCTTTTCTTTTAAAAAACAGCTTAAGTGTCGAATCCCATAATTTTATGAAATAACTAGGTAGTTCATGAATTATCTACGAATGTTAGTTAAAGTATGAAATAATATATGAAAATTATACTTTGACTCGTTATTTCATAGAATATCTAGTTATTCTATACAATTTTAGTTTGATATCCGTTATAGTATAAAATACATTAAAATTTTAAATAATATATTAAAATATTTTATTTTACTGAATTAATTGTAATTACATTATTTGCAGCTGTTAAAATTTTCAAACACCACTGATTTTACAACAGTGCCTTTTTTTTTTTTTTGATGGCAAGGTATACACAAATCCAAGTATTGCTTAACATCAGATTGAGTAATATTTTCATAACGTTTATTTATTTCATATATTACATGCGGTCTTTACCCCCGTCTTCAAATCAAATAAGAATTTCATGTAAATAATCAAAAATGTCTTCAATCATAACGTCATATAATTTAACATTTTCATTTTGACTACTCACTGGTAGTATTAATATTTCATTAATATTTATTTTTACAATATCGCAATGTTTTTCTAACCAATAGTCATGAGAAGATTCCTTTTTTATTTTTATTTTTTTTCACGTTTATCATCAACTTGCATATTTTTCTTTTGTTAATACTGCACTATTTGGTTTTCATTAAATAGATTTTTAACACTATAAAATAAAACTTTTCTTTCATCAAATCTAATTCATTCGAATTCATTGTGAACTATATTAATACTTAAAATAATATAGTGTAGAGACAGACGAACCAACAGTAAACACGTGAAAACTTATAACTATTACTAAACTTTAAACCTTACCAATATTATTGACAATCTTAATAATATTATAATTTATAATACATATACCAATAACGATAATCTTATAATAACACGATAAACGTACATGAATTTGCGGTCACCGACAACAAGGTCTGTCTTATCTGATTTATTATTATATTGGATAGTAAAATAACGATATTGTACATGATATTTTGTACAATTTGACACATTAACGAAGTGATGCTAGGGAATGTATAAAATAACTAGTTACAATATAAATTATATACATTACCTACAAGTTTTAGTTATTTTATAAACCACCTAGTTATTTCATAAACTAACCAATTCAACACTTTAACTGTAACAATTAGCAAATATTCTTCAAACATTGGATTTATTACAAGAAACTGCAAGGACTACAAAAATACTCTCACCTTAAAATCATTAATTTCGTACTGCATTAG